ATGAAGCTCCGTGTAGCCCCTGGGAGCCCTCAGGAGCCAGGCCATCACCTGTGTGGGGATGGAGGACCCAGCCTGCTCTGCCCGCAAGAGCAAATGCTGCCCCTCCCCCAGGGGCTTCTTTCCGCTTAGCCACGCCCCTCCCTCTTGCCATACCTGGTCTCCATGGCTGCTGCGCTGTGGACCTCGACTTCTGCGTCCCAGTTTGCATCCCCACAGCTGCTGGGCTGTGGGCTGAGTTCCCGACTTAGGGAATGGCAAGTCAGGACCACTGCTGGGGAAAGAGGGTCTTCACCCGCGCAAGGCAGGAGAGACATGCCTAGGAGACAGAGCAAGAGCTGCGGCCTCTCTGTGAGGAGGAAGGAAACGAATCCATCTGGACCCAGTGCTGAGGTCACCTGGCACTTGGCTGAATCGGGGCCATGGCTCTCCTGGTTGCTGCCTCTCCATGGGGTAGAAAGGCTCTTCTGAGCCAGAGGCTGACACTGCTTATGCAGAAACAGAGAGAGAGAGAGAGCTACGCATTTGTCTATTTGTTGGGTGTCATTTTAGTCACCAACATGAGCACTGCCTGCTCCTAACAATTGACAGAAGTACAAATCTCATTTGAGGAGAAAGTTCTCATTGGCTTACAGAGACAGAATGTGGTGTTTCTGCTCCATAGTTGTGGAACCAAAGCTGCCTTTGCACCCCTGTGTGGGGGCTGCTGCTGCCTCTCATCGCATCCCAGGATGCCGTGGGAGAGGCGGCAAGGACAGAGCGGCTGCACTCTCTTCCTTATCAAGTGACGCAGAGCAGGACAGCGTATGTCCTTCCTGCCAGGGCAGCCAGATGTGGGCTCCCAGCTTGCTCTGTCCTGGGTGCAGTTGGCCTGTCGGGGAGAATGCTGGGCGACAGCTCTAGGCCTGAGCAGAGAGAATGACCTGAACCCCAACCCCCCACCAAAATGCAGAGATGGTGGGACACATGTCACCCCATCTGCTATAAAATGACAGAGTATTAGAGCTGGTATCCAGTGGACTCTGCAGAAGGCCAGCTGAGATACTCACGGTGAGCGGTGGGTTCCCAGTGGGCACCAGCTGGGCCCCGCTCACCCCACAGCTGTGCCCACCCAGCACTGCTTGCTCAGCTCCCTGCCCAGCCCTTGGGGTCCAGAGTGCACAGTGCTTGGGCAGCTCTCCTGACTGGCTCTGTCCCTGCCTCCGTCTGCCTGATTTTGTGTTGCTTTTTCAACATCTTTATTGAGATATTATTCACATGCCATAAAACCGACCCATTTAGAGCACACAATTCAATGGCTTTTAGTGTGTTCACAGGGTTAGGCAACCATGACACAATTGGCTTTAATGGAACACTCTCACGGAGCCAAGGAGGACCCTGTGGCCCTGGCCAGCACAGTACCACAGCCCCCGGGTGTGCAGACGCCCCGCCGCCGCCCGCAGCTCTGGATGCCCCAGCCCTCGGGCCATGCGCATGTCCCCCACATGGTTCATGAGCACGTGGAGTTCTGCAACTGGCCTCCTTCGCAGAGCACAGTGTTCTCAGGCCATCACGCCACAGCGGGACCCTGAGCCACACTCCTCCTGAAAGACGCCTTTGTCCTCTGCAGGGCCCTGCAGACTTTGGGTCATTTATCCGCTCCCCAGGGGCACGTGGGCTGGCTCCCACGCTGACCATTATGGACGCTGCCGGAAGGAGGGTCTTCATCCACGGCACTGGACACTGATGCACAGGCCACATGGCCACATCCCCATTCCCGTCCTGAGGGTCCTGAGGGAGGGCTGCTGGCTCATGTGGCGTCTTACTCACCTCAGATTGCTACGACCAAAAGCGCCAGTGTGCAGCGCAGAAGGACGCGGCCGCTTGGCTCCACGGGCGGGCGGAGCGTTTCCTGTGCCCCGGAGGCGGGAGGGCGGGGCTTAGGGTGTGAATGCAGTTGGCTCTGGCCTCGGGGGCTGGCTGCGTGCTGGCCCCTCTCTCACCTGGGGGCAGAGGAGGGGAGACAGAATTGTCTTTTCCTCTGGCAGTAGTGGGGATTGAACGCAGGATCTTCAGACTCACCTACCTCCCCAGCACTTTGTTAGTTGTGCATTTTGAAGCAGGATCTTGCTCAGCCACTGAGTGCCCAGGTTGGGCTTGAACCCTAGATTCTCCTGCCTCGGAGCTGGGAGGACAGGCCTGTGCCGCCACGCCAGCCCAATATCCTTACGAGAGGCTTTTAGAGGCTGGACAAGCAAGTCCTTCGGTTCTATTTCACACTCTGGGAAGCACATAAATTAAACTTCTGAGAGGACCAAGTAAGACACAGTCTATTTATTTGTTTTATTGTATTTATTTATTTATTTTATTTTTTGTCTTTTTGAGATAGTGTTTCACTGTGCAGTTCAGGATGGTCTTGAACTCACTTTGTAGCCCAGACTGGCCTCGAACTTGTGCTGATCCTCCTGCCTCAGCCTCCGGAGTGCGGGATTACAGGTGTGCACCACCACCCGTGGAGTAAGGCACTGTCTTGTGTGCTCTTGTGTAAGGAGAGATGAGTCCTCCTCCTGCTGAGAACTTTCAGCGGGCAGCGGAGGGCGCAGGGAAGTGTGTCAAAACGTGCTCCGAGGACAGCTGACTGCACAGGCTGAGGCCGACGTTCTGGTTTTGATGGTTCTCTGCACAAACATCTGGATTTCCTGGGCTGACACAGGAGACTTTCCTACAGGGTTTTTCAGTGGTATTAACAGGCTAATGCTTTCCTGTGAGGGAAGAGAGTTAGAATCTGTAAGCAACACTTGACTGCATCACGGAGACAGCTCAGCAGCAGACGCTGGCCTGGCAAGCGCCACATCCTAAGTCGGATCCCAGGTACCAGGAACTGTTTGACCCTAGGGTAACCTTTGCTCCTCCTCCAGAGGCAACTTTAGAAATTGAAACTCCTGAGGGTGGGATTACCCAGCCCTGCCTCACCTTAGCCGCTGCCTCTCCCCAAGGGCCTCAGCCTCTGCTGCCAGCATCATGGGCGCCCTGTGGCAGATGATGCCCGCGGCTTCCCGTCCTCTCCACAGACACCTAAAGCCAGGAAGAAAGCTCCCTTCTAGAGAGGAGTGCAGGGAACAAGGCCGTTTCCATCTCTGCTCTGAGGGTGCCTGATGCTGAGCCCTGGTGTGCTTCCTCAGGGCTCCATTCCTTTATTGCTTATTTGATACAGGGTCTGACTGTGCCATTCAGACTTGTAGTAATCCTCCTGTCTCAGCAGCGCTGGGATCACAGGTGTGCACCACCACACCAGGTTTCGGGACTGGCACGGCATGTGGTACCGGGGATCAAACTTGGGAACTTGCACTGGCCAAGCAGGTGCTAGACTGCTGAGATATCTCCCCAGCCTCTTCCAGCCTCCATTCTGCCTGCTCCTGCAGCAGCAAGCGTGTGGCTGGCCTCGGCCTGCTGGAGGCAATCAGGGGTAAGAGAAGGACAGGGGCAGCAGCAGCAGAGGCTGCATCAGCCTCATGAGTAAGAGAGGATTTTTTTTTTTTTTTTTTTTTTGCAGAACCAGGGATTGAGCTCAGGCCCTTGCGCTTGCCAGGGAATCGCTTATTCTACTGAGCCATCTCCCCAGCCCCATCCTCATGAGTAAGATCAGTAGGTCTTTGACTCATTCTGAGCGCCGAGCTGGGCAAGATTTATCCTTCAGCACCTTGCACACGGCCTCCTGCACACATGTGCATGCGTGCGCTCACATGCTCACATGCACACTCTCCACAGGGGCTGATGGCCAGTCCTTTCCACATGGCCGCAGGGCTCCGGGCCCCATCCCTGGGCTGTCCATGGCCTCTGTAAGCCAGCTTATCAGCGAGCAGTGGACTCCTGGCAGTGAGATCAGCACAGGGAGACGCTGCACACTCCTCAGGTCGTCTAAGGAGGGAAACTTCATTTTATTAGCGGTTTGCATCGGGAAATAGAAGACAGCTTACTCGGCCTCCTTCCAATAAGTCGCCAGTTGGTTTTCTGAAAGCCTGAATGCCTGGCCTCCGGGCTGCATCCCTGACTGCCCACAGAGCTAGAAGCTGAACACAAAACTCCAGGGCACTCTCAGAACAGGAAGTGTTTAAAAATTCTTCTCGTCTAACATAAATCAGACAGCACACTGGTGACATTAACTCATTGACGTGGATCTGCAAAAGGACCAGAGACACCTGTGTCTAACTCCTCTTGGATTCCAGGGCCAGGGGCCTACTCGAATAAGCAAATCAGAGCGTGCACAAGCAGGTAGCTCAGGCGCGCCCACGCTCACACTCCCCATAATGACCAAGAGGAGAGAGAAAAGGAAAAGGGTCTCCAAGCCTGGGGGCCTGGGCAAAGCGGGCGAGCACAGCATTATGGTCTAGAGTAGAAGTGGTGGAAAAGCACCATGCAGGAGGGTCGTGACAGCACACAAATGCGCTCAGATCATGCAGGGAGGCCAGAGGACTGGGCGGTGCTAGCCTCCTGGCTAGAAGCCAGGCATCTCTATTTGCATGGGAAGGGACAGAAAGCAAGCAGACTGCAGCGACTAACTTGTAGTGGGATGGTGGGCAAACTCATGCTGGCCATTGCGTGACTTCACCTGTGAGTTCCCAGAGCCTCCTGTGTTTGGAAAGTACCAGCCAGGATCTGGGGCTTGGGGTTGGGCACAGCTGGCCTCCTTGAGGAGGCGGGGCCTGGTTGGAGACGGGTCCCTGGGGCGTGGCCCGGAAGGGAGCATCTCCCTCTGTCCCCTCCGTTCTGGAGCTGTGCTCCTTCACCAGGCCTTCCTCCCTTGGAGCTGGCTGGCCACACACTGCAAACTGAACCAGAGCAATCCTTTCCTCCTTTGATGTGAGAGTGTCGGGTCTTTTAGCCCAGCAACGAGGACAGCGACTGAGACAGCGACCTGTCAGCCTGCCATCGCCGACTCAGTGATCCTGAGGCAGCTGCCGCTCGGTGGAGCCAAGCCAGCCCTGCTCCTTTAGCTGGCAGGGCACATCCCGCAGAGTCCACGCATGCCGACGCCTGTGGTGCCGCACTCGGGCCGGGAAGGGGCGGAGCCTTGCGAGGCTCAGCAGGAAGCTCCCAGGACCTGGAATGCGGGCCAGAACTCCCTGCTTACCACACCACATATTACAGGTAAAATATGAGCTGCAAAGTAAAGCTCTTCTGAGAGCTTGAGGCCAGCCTGGGCTACAGTGAGGTGAAGGCCAGCTTGAACTGCATAGAGACCTTGTCTCACAAAGGCAAAATAAAATGAAGCTCTTCTTATAAAACCTCAGAAGACAGTGTCTCTCTCCTCTTGGCCATTATGGGGAGTGTGAGCGTGGGCGCGCCTGAGCTACCTGCTTCCGCACGCTCTGATTTGCTTATTCGAGTAGGCCTCTCGCCCTGGAATCCAAGAGGAGTTAGACACAGGTGTCTCTGGCCCTTTTGCAGACCCACGTCAAGTCAGTTAATCACTGACTTAGTAAGAACTGTCTCCTATCCCTCCCCACCCTCCCCAGATGCCTAATCTCAGCAAGACGAGGGCAGTCTTCCTCCTGGGACATTCCAGTGGTGGGGACTTCAACCCTGCCATCTGGTCACTTCAACGGCCTCTGCACATGGGCTCCTCCTCACTGCCCAAGCTCCAGCCACCATAGCCATACCAGCCAGGAGGAAGGCCGAGGACCCAGGGCCACACCCATGGTCACACACGAACACGCTTCTGCCCCAGCAGCATGGTTGTGTGACCCTGCGAAGTGCTGCAGTAGGCACCTGGGAATGGAGTCCTTCCAGGGCTCTAAGTGAGTAATAGCCTCTGCCACAAAATTCCTCCCTGTGCTATCACAGAAGACACCAGGCAGGCAGACAGCTGAGAGGAGCCACATCCACTTCTTTTGTGTCCACCCCGCCCAACATGCCTTTCCTGGAGCTCAGTTATCTGTGGATGGCACCCCGAATTCTGAGATCTGGTCTTGCGAAAACAACACAGCTGCAGCCCGCAAGGCAGATGGGAATTAGCAAGCTGGAGGAGCTCCAAAACCCCGCCATTGTCCACATGCCCACCCTGCGCAGAGGGAGTGCGGGCTCCGAAACAGAAACTTCATGAAACTTTGAGGCTTCTGGTTGCTTCATGAATAATGCAAGGCTGCACAGCAGCACGTGGTGTGAGGCAGAGTGAGGAGGAGGAGGAGGAGGAGCAGCATGCTCAACCTGGCCAGGAGAAATCAAGGAAAGTCACAGGAGGAGCTGGGGCTTTCTGGGAGGAGATGTGTGGCTGCTGAAAGAGCTGCTCGGCACTCCTCGAGGGTCTCTGGGGACTGAGGACAGTCACTCCTGGGGCCACAGGCAGGGCCCGGGGCGCTTCTTTGCCCCACAAGTGTCTTCTCCACTATGTTCTGGAATGCCCTCTTCTTCTTTTAAGGAATTGTCCTCTCTAGAATCACAAAGACCTCTGGAAGGGCCTTATGTAGAGACGGCTCCAAAATACAGCTCCTCCTGCCCTGCCCTAGGAAGTCTGTTAGGCATTTTATCAAGAGCCATTCCAGACTTTGCAAAGGTGTAAAGAATCACTGTGGTAAAAATGCTGATAATAAAAAGTAACCCGACTTAGCTGCGTGCACACCTCTGGCTTCCTGTATAAATGATGACCAGTGACAGCTGGGTGTGGTGGCACACACCCCTAATCCTAGCACTTGGGTGGCTCAGACAGGAAGGTCACTGTGAGTTCAAGACCAGCCTGCGCAACATAGTGAGCTCAAGGCCAGCCTGAACTGCATAGCAAGACTCTGTCTCAGAAAGACCAAAAAAAATTACCACTGAGGCTGAGACCCAAACACACCACCTCCCTCATCCCCTCAGCCCTCAGCCCGGGAACCAGCTGCCGTCTTGGATTGGAGACGCACCCCTGCCAACTAGAAGGTGACACCTGCATTCCTTTACCCCTTCCTGCATGAGTCCTACCCCTCCTTGCACAGGCTCGGACCACCTCATCTTCCAGCAAAGCTCCTCATCCGGGAGGCACTGGCGGCTCCTCCAGGCCAGGCACCGCGACAGCAGTCTCCTGACCAGTGCCCGCCTCTAGGGTCTCCCTCTGCCATTTGTCAGCAGTGCTGCGGTCAGTGCTGGATCTCAGCTCAAGGATGGACGCCAGATGGTTCCCTGGGGCTGCGGATGTAAGCACCACACCGCCTGCCTGGCAAGCATGAGGTTGTGAGTTGATGCTTGAACCCCCCCCCACACACACACAAAACGGCTCCTTGTCACCTACATGAGGGCCGGGGAGATGGCTCAGTAGAATAAGCGCTTCCCTGGCAAGCGCAAGGGCCTGAGTTCAACCCCCGGTTCTGGGGGTGGGGTGGGGGGATTGTCACCTACATGACGACGAGGTCCTGGGCCTTGGCGGAAGAGTTGCTGCTGGCTTAGAGCATTTGCTGTGAGCCGTGTGAAGGAAGTGGACTTTTGGACCCCTCAGCCCCCACACCCAGCGGCATCTCACTCAGAAGCGGCTCGAGGAGCAGGTGGAGCCCAGGACAGCATCACAGAGCCAGGACTGCATGCTAACTCATTAGAGAACCACAGTTGTCTCTGAAGAGGGCTTGGGGCCCGGGAGATGGCTCAGTAGAACAAGCACTTGTCTGGCAAGCTCAAGGGCCTGAGTTCAATCCCTGGTTCTGCAAAGCCTGTTTGAAGAGGGCTCCACCATCTCCATTTCAGCTCTGGGCATCAAAGATGTTGAAAACATTCTTGAGGGACTAAAATGTGGTGAGTGGACCCAACTCCAGCTGGAGGCACGCCAAGCCCTCAGAGCCTTCAGTCTGCCACACGCTGTCCGGGTTCCAGGTGCAGTTTCTCTCCCCTCTCTTTCACCCCACATGCCTGTGACCCCCATCTCTTCTTCTTCTCCATCTTCCTACCCTTCCTCATTATTTATTATTATTATTATTATTATTATTATTATTTGTCTTTTTGAGACAGGGTTTTTGCTATACAGTTCAGCCTGTCCTTGAGCTCACTTTGTAGCCCAGGCTGGTCTTGAACTCACAGGGGTCCTTCTGCCTCAGCCTCCTGAGTGTAGATTACAGGTAGGCACCACCACTCCTAGCCTCTCTCCTCATTATTGAGTGCTCCCATATTCATCAATTTCCTGTCCCTGGGACAAAACACCTGACACCCCCTGTTTAAAGACAGAAAGTCTGTGGTCACCCAACTCCAGAGCAGAAGCAGCATGGGGTGGGTGCGTGGCCAGTGACAGCCAGAAAGCCAGGAGAGCTGCTAGGGATGAGAGTGCAGCCTTCAGGTCCCACCCTAGTGGCCTCCTCCAGCCAGCCCCACTGCCATGGCTAAGTATGTGCCGTTTAGCACTGGGCCACAGATGACCACAGCATCCACAATGCCCTGAGCACAGGAGACCCTAGGGAGACACTCTGGCTCCCACCTGAGCCCCTGCCTTCACATACGCACCATTCTGTACCTCAGGAAAAGATCTGAAAGTTGAGTGGTGTGAGCTCAGTGTGCTCAGTGCATCATTGTCTTTGAGCCCCCAGCCTTCTCATCAGGGAAGGGAGGAGGGCACAGGACCCAAGGTGGGTCTCTCCCCATGTCCAGGGCATTAAGAACTGTCATTGCATTCATCTTGCACAATGGTCATGAGGGCCACTGGAGCTAGAGAGCATCACAGGTCTCTACCAACTGTAGCCCAAGCTGGACGCAGTGGCTTCGCTCTCTTCTCCCCTGACCTGTGCAGGCTTTCTCTCTGTCCTCAGACAGAGGCATCATGGGAACTGGGCTGAAACACAGCTCCTAAATCTGCTGCATTTGGAATCTGGAGCA